ATTATGTAAATAAGAATGCACTTAACCCTTCCTTTCTGTATTCAAAATATAGGTTTTAACAATAGATTATAATAAAATTAAGAATGCCATCATCGTCCCATCATCATCACCACAATTCACCAACAAATACATCTATATTATAAAAAACATACGTCATCATCCCACAATTCCCTAAAGAAAGTCATCTTCAGTTAAAAAAACAAATTAAAAATTCACGTTAACATACTTTTAGTGTACGGCCAAAATCAAAGCTGTGAATGCACTTAGAAACCGACTCACATCAAAAATACCAAGAGATCGAAAAAAATTACTAGAAAAACAACTCAACGATGGTTAGAGCATCACCAATAAATTCTTTAAAATAAAGAATCAAAAGTCAAACTATTTAAAACGAATCTATATCAGCTTCTCTATTTTTAAGTATCCTATATTTCTTAAATTAAATTTGTTCATAAAAAACAATATAAAAAATAATGTTATATTAAATTTGATATATTGTTATTATAAATTTAAATTTGTGCATTTATATGATAAAAAATAAGTTTAATACTAATTTAATATATTTAAAATGATATAAAGATAAAAAAAAATTCCCAATAATTTAGCCCAATATTAAAAAATTAAAATAAATTCAATAGCTGATTTGGGCCACTTATCAGGGCTAAACTTTGGGCCACTGCCCACTAGCCTTTCAGCAATCTACTATATATATAAATCTCTATTATGCAAAGTAGAGGGAAAAGTTTGAAAAAAAACCCCAACAAACTATCTGATTTTAAATGGTTGAGTTTTTAGATTATTTTTTTTGAATGATAAAACCTTTAAACTTTTTAAAACCGGTTAAATACATTCTTGTAACCTCTAAAACAGGTTAATGTTGATAAAAATTTGAGAAAAGGTCTAAGAAAACCCAACAAACTATATAATTTTGAATGATTAAATCCTTAAATTTTTAACAAATAAATCACAAAAAATCATGAACTTAATTTTAAACAAATAAATCCGACTTTTTTTTAACAAAATCATGAACAAGAAAACATATACAGTTCCTCTTACCGAGAACAAAGAAAAATAAACCAATTAAATAGAAAAATAGTATACTATTTCCATTACTAATTCGAAACAGTTAAAAGTTATGCCAAACGCGTAAATAGATACATACATAAATTATATCCATCCCTTAACAAAACGTACCCAAAAATTCACATCCTTTCATATACCAAAAAAAAGCTCATCCTTTCACAAAAATATACGGAAAAAAAATTCATCCCTTCACAAAATATACCAATTATTTTTTTTGTAAAATGATCGGAATTTGAATTTACAAATTTTTAGAGTTTAGAAAAAGAGATATATCTGTCGTGCATGTATACGAGTCAATGACTATCCATGCAATATACATAATTTGGCAAATTCTGTATGTAGATTTATTGTTGAACACAGAATTAACCAAAAATAATAAATTCAAGTACAGTATTAGTTAATAATCGATATTTTGAAGTTTTATCGACAACATAATAGGAAGTGGGAAACGCTCACTTCAAGTTAGCATCGTTAATGATGAATTGTTAGTTATTATCAATCGAAGGATTGTTGAACGTTCTCATATGTTGACTATCGTTAAGAGGAAGTTCAGCCCTATCAATTTTCCGAAACTTTCGTTCTTAAATGGGTTGGGTTGTAAACGGGAAACAAATATTAGCGAGTAAAAGAGAAACAAATCTATTTCTTTGTCGGTTTTGAGTTTGGAAATAACAAGTAAAAAGGCTTAAAAACTTCCAAATCATATATTAACGTTGTTTCAAAGTGTTCCTTTTGTTACACGTGCGGATGACATGCAATTATGTAAACAACAGTTTAAGTTGACAATATTTTAACTATTAAGACATACATTTGCGATAGTGCATTAACAAGTACATCAAAATATTTCATAGAGCACGCCTGCATTTTATAACCCATAACACGAGTGACGGTTTGAAAGGCCACTGATAGTATACAAAAGCATACAAAACAATTAAAAACTTGTATTGTTGAAGACATGATCGTCAAGTTTCAATGCAACCGAGATTGCGTTTGCGAAACAAGCGTTGTAATTTGCAGTGGCTTTTTCGGAGAATATGCATATAGGCTAGGTTTATTTAGAAATCTTACGTGTTCTGAGAACTCGATAACCACCTGTTTTTATAATATTCATGATGAATAACATGATAAATATTAATGATAAATGTCGTGACAGATATTTATGATCATTCAAAGTTATTCATCGGGAATATAACATTCAACAAAATCTAATATTTTATTATAAACAAAAATGGAAATTAATGCAATTTAACCATTAAATTAATTGAAAATAAGAATTACATGTATTAGTTGAACATGCTTTGCTCATTTGAACATGTTTTACTGATTCGATGATCCGAAAATAATCATTTAAAGAAATATATTGATATTGATATAAAATTAAATATTATAATTTTTTTTATTTGTTTAATTAATCTTTTTAATAATTTAATTATTTTGGATTTAAATAAATTTTTATTTATTTTAGTATTTTATGATTGAAATTTTGATATATTAATAAATCACAACATTTATATTGATTTAAACGTTCTAACTTTATATAGGTGGATTCCAATAAGAAGTGTAATAAAAGATCTCCACTCTTGAATGCATATTAATTATTAAGACGAGATGCATCAAGATGAAATGCACCGGATTAAGCGCGATTCATGGGTGAATTTGAGATTAAGGTCATCAAATATCCAAATCTCTTATTACGCTTTTCAACTTAACTCTCATTCTCACACGATACTTCACCTATATACTATTGTGTTTAGTCAAATGAGAATTTTAGAATTTGCGAGATTCATCTCGTATGAGCTAATCATTTAAGGTAATTATTAAATAAATAGAAAAAGGTAATTTAATAATAAAAAAATGAACTCATGAATGCATTCAATTAATTTATTCTTCCCATAAACAAAAAAAACTATAAACTCCCATAAATAAGAATCCCATAACTCTCTACAATGTGTCATCTTTGACGTCAGTAACACAATGTGTATTTTCATTGTTTTATTTGTATCACATTATGCGTTTTCGTTATTTACACCGTATCACATTGTATATCTTAGAATAAAGGGAACATAGTTTCCCGGTAACCGGCCGCATCACAAGATGTATATATTAGGCATCAGAGCGAAAATCGCAGGCATCAGTGAGTATATAGAGACAATGATCCTAATTAATATATCACAACGTGCATATGGTGAGTATCAAAGTGGAATTTTCACGTAGGAGGAAAGAAAAAAAATATTTTATTAAAATACCTAAAATGCTCTTTATTCTAAGTCAAAGTTATCAACATTATTAATTTTCTAATTTAACATTTGATTTGTGGTTGAAATTATCTGACAAAATCCTAAATTCTCCACAATTAAATATTCACAAATAAAAAAATGTATATATTTAATAAATTACTTTTAAAACTTTTATTTTCTTTATTAACTTGGATATCCAACCCGCTATGCGAGCCGACTAATCCTAGGACGACCACCTGCTTTGCAGATAGCCCGAAGTTACTGTATTTGAACCTCCATGACCACAAGAGAATTTTTACTCCTTTTTGAATTTGAACTCAAGACCTTCTAATCTATATCTATACTATCTTATAAAACAAATTTAACAAAAGTCTTAAAGTCTTAAAATACTAAATGACCAAGATACCCTTTATATCACTTTTTTCACTTTTTCATCCCATCCTCTCTTCACATACACTCACCCTCTCACAACCAATTTTTTTAAAAATTATAATTTTTAATTTACACTTTATACYCCTATAAKTAGTTAATTAATTWACTTTACKTCMTTTACTTTTAAATGTTTCATTTTAAACCTTTATCAAATTAATATACATAATCGTATATCAATTAAAACATGTTTAAAAAATACATTTTTATTTTAACAAGTTACAGCATTATAATCGTCTCGTTAATACCTTCGAAATGAGTCCAATATTGAATAGTTTTTTACTTAATTATATTATTATATATTATATATACTGAAAAAATATTTTTAATATTTACGATTTATACTTTTATAGTTATTTATTTATATATATACTATATATTTTGGGGCTAGACTGTCTAAATTGCACTGTATAATATGTTCTGAATTAATATGTTCTTGGGTTTTTTTGAAATTTGTATATATATATATATATACATATAAATGTATTAATTCAACCTTAATCTGAGTTTCTGGACAAGAAAGAGGGTAAGCAATTGAAATTTTATTTTAAAACCCATCTTTTTTGGTCTTTTCATGACTTATGATTTGTCAAATTTGTAGTTTTCTTTATTGGTTTTGATGTTTATCTTAAAACTCAAGTTTCTTGGTTATTTGCTCTTGGTGTAAATCGAACACATTTGTGGAATCGTTTAAATATGTTGGATTTTAAATATATTGGATTTTAAACTGTCATACAATTTTTTTCATCGATAGTCTGTAATTGGAACCATAACTCTTATTTATTCAAATTGTATTAATATGTAAAGACCAAGTGTAACATATATCATCGTTAAATCTTATCTTATAAAACCAGTGGAACTTCAAAATCGTTAAAATTCATGGCTCCCGCCGCATTGCACGGGTACATAACTAGTATTTTTAACATTTAAAGCCAAGTTCAAACTAATCCGACACCAACTGGTTTACTTTTAAAACTTTAAATCGAACATTTTTGAAGTGGCGAAAAATGGGGGAAAGGAAGGAAAAGAGTTTGGTGTGAATTGCAAGATTTGCTGAGCTGGCGTCTCGTTTTAAATCATATACCCCTCGAGTTTGCTTTATTTACCAAATAACCCTACCTATCGGCCACTGGTGAATATAAATAACCCCCATCTCCCCCCATATTTCTCCTTTCCCTACCGTTTTTCATCACTCTCACTGGATGTTCGATTGCTGTTCATTACGATCTTAACAAGGGTTTCATCCTTTTATGCTGAAACCCTGATTGCTTCATTTCGTCGAATCCGTTTTCTTGCTATTTTGTGGGTTCTACGAAAGCGAACAAGCTTTTTCATCTTGATTTTCTTCTAATGCGTTTTATTTGAGTAGGTGGTGGTTACTTCCGGTTTCTTTAATCTATCGCAATTTCCCTCATTTCGATCCCGTTGCGTCGTCGCCACCGCCACTGCTGTTCGCAACCGATTTCCGCTACTCTCACCGGAATTGTTTGGATGTTCAATGGTTCTTCGTCATGATCGTAGTGAGGGTTTGATCGGTAAAACCCCCATTGTTTCCTTTTTCTTACTATTTTTGGGTTCTATGCAAGAGCAGGTTTTTTTAGTGTTTAAGTTTCTTCTAATGCATTTTACTAAGTAGGTAGTGGTTACTTCCAGCTTTTTTGACGGAAAGAAGTGAAAGCCGGTTGATTGCTGTTAATCCATTGCTATTAAGGTTTATTTCCTGTAACGTGCAACTCTTGGCTGGGGTTTTGTTTTATCGATTCAATTTTCTTTCAGTTTTCTGTATCATTGAACTAAGAAAATTTCTGGGATCTATATACACGACTTTCTTCGACCGTATTTTACCCTAGTACTTGGTGGTTATATTACTATTTTGAGATGACATGGAAAAAAATTCTTCATACGATGCAGTTTATACAGTACACATCTACAAAATCTTAGTCATGCATGGTAGTTTACTCGGTGATCAAAACTTGATAAATTTATGACTCGAGAAAGATTAACAAACTACAATGCCTGATGTTCTACTTTTTAGCGCTGAATTGAGTTACTTGTGTGATTCCATGGTTACATAGATCGATTGTTGGTGGTGTTGTGGTTGGATAGAGGTCTAAATGATGAATTACCACCTTGATTATGTATTAGCATAGCATTATCTGCTAGTTTGATGGAAACTGCAAAGACCTTATTGCACTTGAACGAAATAAAATTTGTGAAATATAATGTTGTAAGAAGAGGGGTTTTACTTTATGATAAGAAACTAAAGCAAAATGCATATGTTTATATAATACTTTCATTTTTAGTAGATTGATGATAGTAGAGATGAAGTGAGGCATGGTTTTAACTAGAAGCTAGGTTTTTGCATTATATGACTGTGCCCGATCCTCGTCAAACCTAGGCATGCACCACGGACCACAGTGGAATGTATATGATAGTATGGTGATATTAATGTGTATAATTTTGTTTTGATAGGTAGGATTTTTTAAGCATACTATGCATATTTTGTTTACATTAAGGCGTGTCACTATTCACTTAATTAGTGCTTCTCAAAGATTGTAGAAACCAATTTTGGTTATTTGTTTGGACCAGCAGAAAGATTGCTTTCCTTATTGGTTTACTCTCACTTAAGTAGTGCGTCGCAAAGCTTGTAGAAACGTTTTTGGTTGCGGTCTTTTATTTTGCATTAATGATCTTGCAAGTTCTTGATTATTTATTATAGAAAAAATCTACCATCGGATAATAATCCTAACTTTATTTGGTTGATTTTCCTCATGCAGCTTAAACTGCCTATTTTAGGTTTTTTGGCATTGACATACATATAGAGCTTACAGAATATACTCGCCATGGGTTTTGACAACGATTGTATAATAAACATTCATTCTGTTGCTCCGGAGTACTTTTGCCCTGTGTGTCGGACACTTGTTTATCCAAATGAAGCACTCGAAGCACAGTGCAGTCATCTGTACTGCAAACCTTGTCTGGTACACATCGCAAGTGGTGCCCAGACGTGCCCCTATGATGGAAACTCGGTAACTGAAGCTGGTGCAAAGGTAAGCTCTCTTCATGTTCTTCTATTTCCGTAAATTTGTTACTTGCTATTTTATTCTGAGTTATATGTTCTTCTCTCTTCCAGCCAGTCACAGTGATTAACAGAACTCTGGCTGATGCAATTGGGAAAATTGCTGTACGCTGTCTCTATCATAGGAGCGGCTGCATGTGGCAGGGTCCTCTATCTGAGTGCATTATCCACCGTTCAGGATGTGCCTTTGGCGATTCCCAAGTTTTATGCATGAAATGTCAGATTCAAATTGCGCATCGTCAAGCCGAGGAGCATGCTCAGATCTGCAATGTGAATGTAATGAGCCATTCCTTTTTCAATCATTATGCAACCACTTTTTTTAATGTTAATGTTAGTTGTGCTGAGGTATTACTTGTGTGCAGCAGGTCATGAATCCTGAAGTACAAGACAGGCCTAAGAATGTTTGGGGTGCTGCAACTTCAGGAGCAGCTGTATCTTCTGACCAAAGCAAGACTGCTATTCAAGGAGAAGCAACAAGTGGACATCTGCAGGCATCTCAAATTACGCCTGCTGACAATCTGAATGAACTTGCAATGGCAAATCCTCAGCCACAAGCTTTACCTGCAATGGTTATGTCAACTTCACAGTGGTATCAACCACAATATCAACAGGTTTATGCACAAATGTACCCGTATTCACTGGAAGCCACTCAGCCATTCAATCAGGCACCTCTTCAGGTACAGGGGCCGGCAAAGAGCCAGGCTCATGCTCAGCTTCAACCCCAATCTCAGGTGGTAGTGCAGCAGCAGGTCCAATCCTCGATGCATATGGAAAATCAAGCGCATGTCCTACCCCTTCCCCAGGCCCAGGCTAACCTCCATCCTCTAAAACAAGCGCCGAGTCAAGTGCAAGCTCGGCCGCACATTTCTTTTTCTGGACAGCATGGACCGCCTCTGTATCCTCAGGCTGCCATGCCTGGCCCAAATGGAACCCAGGCTCAACTTAATCCTCAGCAGCAAATTCAGCAGGCAAGTTTGCCCCATGTGCAAATTCAAACACATAATCAGCTACTTGCTCATTGCCACATGCCTCCTCAGTTGTCCTCTCAAGCCCCTTCACTTGCTGTTCAAGGCCATGCTCAACAGCATATGCAAGTCCCTCAATTTCAGCATTCTCTTTCACAGATGCATCATCCTCGGCCTTATCCATGGCACCCAGATTCTCAATCTCAATCACAACCTCACACACAAGGGCACCCACAGTCTCAGTCATGCCCTCAACTTCAACATCCTCATATCCAGCAAGTCCTGCAGTTCCCACCACAGCAACATCCTCATAGCCTGCAAGTCCTGCAGGCCCCACCACAGCAACATCCTCATGCCCAGCAAGTCCTGCAGGCCCCACCACAGCAACATCCTCATGCCCAGCAAGTCCTGCAGGCCCCACCACAGCAACATCCTCATGCCCAGCAAGTCCAAGTTCATCCCTCAACCGGGTTTGTACCCCCAGTTCAAGTGTCTTCTCAGTTTGTTCGACCAATTGTCTATCTGCGTCCTCTGGAACCTCCTCAGAAGCTTCCTTCACGAGGCCAATCCCCGGGGATCCCACCTGTCCAACAACACACTGATCCTCATAGTCAACCAGGTCTTCCAGTTCAACAGCATCCTGTTACTTGTCAGGTTCAACAACCATTGCCTCAGCAATATGTACAGCTGCCACAGATGTTTGCAGGCTGCACTTCTGGTCTGCTTCAAGGTCAGCTGCATCATGCTGGTCCTTTTGCTGATCAGGAACTTGGAAGAACAACCAAGCTGCAACATTATAAGCCACAGTCCATGAAGAATTCTGGCATGGATGCTAATGGTCCTGGAGCTAACTCAAATGAGAAAAAACATGGTGCAGAAAAGAATGATGAAGATAAACCTGAAAACAGGGGTGGAGATGATTATAGGAAAGATGAAGCGGTGATCAGAGATGCTGTCACTGAGCTGCAGGAGGGGCAGGGGGTCTCATGTTATCCCGTTGCTACACAGAGATCTGAAGGAGGAATCAATAATAATTTAGACCATTTTCCTGGTGGGAATCTGGTTCAAAATAAAGCAGTGGATGTGAGAGATGTCCCTATATATTCTGTGAAACAAGTGGAAGTTAATATGAACGTGCAACCCCCTACCCATTTTAAGCTAGCTGAGCATGGGCATTTTTCTAATCCAGGACAAGTTTCAAACCCGGCTGCGCATTTTCACCCCCCTGCTCCAAATCAACCAGACTCATTCTATCCTCAGCATCAAATGAGTGGGTCCTTTGCCCCATGTTCGGCAGCCATGTTTCCAAGGGGACCTACTAATTTTGCCAACCATGCCAGAAGTTTCAAACCACAATATGAAGGACCTCAGAGGCCTTTTAGTCATGCACTCCCATATGGACCCCCAGGGTTTGTCTCATCATCAGCACCCAGACTTTGTTATGAACAAGCTAGAGCTCCTATTGGTGAGCATCCTGATGCTTTCCCATTGGAATCAGCTCGACACCTTGATCAAGGGTTCCCTCACCAACAACAGTTCTTTGGAGATTCATCTGGCACCATGTCATCTCATCCATGTCTGAACAGGCCAGGTTCTCAAAGTAGTTACGCTCGTCAGGGATTCCCAAATGCTGGTCCATATTGTGCAGTAAGATTCACGTGTTGTATATGTTATATATCATTGCTTTGCAAGTGTGTAATGCTAAGTATTCATTTTTTTAATTATCAGGATGTCTCTGATTCCTTTGATAATTTGAAGAAGAGAAAGTCAAGGAGTATGGGCTGGTGTCGCATTTGCAATGTTGATTGTGAAAGCGTGAAATTTTTGGAACTGCATGGACAAACACGTGAGCACCAGCAGATGGCTATGAATATGGTTAAGAACATCAAGCAGAAATCTGCTCGTATAGCAATGTTAGTCCTATTTGGTTCTATTAGAAAATGTCTGTTTCTGGTGAGTAAACCGTTATTTTCCTTTCATTTGTAGAACATCTAGTGCTCATTCTGGACTTGGGGAGGCAAGGAAGTCCGGAAGTGCGCAGACTCATGGATGTGGCAGTAAACCTTAGGACATGACAATGCAGGGTGAGAATGAATTAAACAACACTTTCATCTTTGGCAGTTTAACATTTAGCAATCACTTCCAGAGACCTATTATGATTTTTGGATGGTTTATGCTGGTTTTTGTATTTCAGGTTGCTGCTTGTTATTCTAGACGGTTTTAAAGTGGAGTTCCTGGAAGTTAAGTCTGTTTCATTTCATCAACTTGGCATGTGATGGTCTTATGTTGAACTAGTGCCTTTAGTTAAGTGTTTGTTTATGAACTGTTTGGGATGCTCAAGTCCATCTATGCAGAAAATTCTGAATGTTATCATTATGCTATGGCCTATTTCAGAACTGTGAAAATAACCTTTGCAGGGTAATGCAGATTAGGACAGCCTAGGTCCTTCTGTCTCTAGATGTCATTTATGTTAGCTGTGATTGTCATACTTGCTCTTTACTTTATGTACTGGGAAAAGGTTAACTGGATACTTGAAAATGTTGCGAGTGATGTAGGCTCAGCTTGTAGAGTTGGGTCATGTCTGAATATATGCATATCAAAGATATAAATACTGCAAAATCTGATTAGCATGTGTATGTATGCATGTATGTATGTACATATATACGACGAATGGATATTGTTCATTCGACCAAGTCTCATTTATGTTTAGGTATTCCTCACCATAAACTATAGGTTGTCTGTTCTTATTTGAGCTGTTGCTGATGTACCTAATAGGGCCATTGGTATCCTTATTGGAGGCAGTTTTTCAAAAATATACTTGGTCATAATATTCCATTGCCAAGTCTGAGTTATTGTCAAAAGTTTATGAAAGCTTCTACCAGTTTGTAGTTGGTATATTTTTAATATGGAATTGTAGAAGCTAGAATACGTGTACTGGGACACATGAATATGATTTGAAGATCATTATTGTTGAACAAGTGGAGATTCAGACATGGAGAACAGATGGTAGACAATTCAATTGTTAGACGCATAGTTATTCAAGGCTAAGTAAACTTATAGTACTAAGTACAAGAAGCATCCTTTTGATTTGTCTTGATTGGTTTTCAGTGTTCTGTCACTTGGGAGCTTTTGTAAATACAAAGATAAGGGCAGAAACCAATTTGATTGCCAATCTAAACTGCTTTTAAAGCCATTTAGACTTGCTGCTGGTGGCTGTGACAATCTGTTTTTCTATGCATTAGAGCTATATCTATTTTTCTAAATACAAGATAAGGAAAAAAAACCTATTTGTGTGCTAATCTAACTGCTTTTGAGGTCAAACAGACTTGTTGCTGGTGGGCTTAACAATATCGTTTTCTATGTACTAGAGCTATATCTGTTCTTGTATGTGTTCTAACTGTCATTTGAATTTCAAAAAAGAGAGAAGTATCACATGTTCTAACTGTCCTTGTATGTGTTCTAATGTTGTGATCCTTGTCAAACAAATCGGTATCTCCTACCTTTATCATAGGATATATCAACCTTCACCCTAGCATTCTTGTATTTTTGACTTGATCCAGTCATATTGATTAAATTGTATCACATGTAATCAGTTTCAAATTCTTAAAACTCTCATTTAAATTCCTTTGTACTAAGAATACTCGACTATACCAAGAAAATATCATGTGCGCTCTTTGTGAAGAAAGACAAATTTGTTGGATGGTTGAGGAGCTCACATGGATACAAAGCCGTTACATTGTCCTCGTCTATTAATGGAATTACTTATGGGTTAAAGTAATATTTTATGCTGCTTTTCATGAAGAAAGAGAGAAAATTTAGAGGATGGTTGAGGAGCTCATATGGAATATGAGGTTGTTACATTGTCGTTCTCTATTAATGAAATTACTTATGGGTTAATTTACTGTATACGTTTATAACCGTTGCAACAATTTGGAGAACAGACGTCTATATTATTTTGCAACCTTCCTTCCTGTCATTTCTCTAATCTGCTCTAGTCACCCTGGGTTCATATTTTACCCGGAAACTACTACAGAGCCGGAGGAAAGAGTGAGTGGTTTACATGAAGGTGGTTTCCGGGTTACCCGTATATCCCAACCTCTTGGAGGTACAAGGGATGAAACCCCACCAAAGGTGAGGAGTATGCATGAATTATGCCGGATATTAATATTATATACTTAAAAAAGTGGTGTGATGGCATGTGCTTTCTTGAGGAGAGGGAACGGGCTTTGCTCCCCTTTACAATATAATATGAAGAAAGAAATAAGGGTCGAAGTGATGAGGAAAATATGCTGATACTTTTGTTAAGAAAGAGACAAATTTTGTTGGATGGTTGAGGAGCTCACATGGAATATGAAGTCGTTACTTTGTCCCCTTTTAATGAACTTGCTTATGGATTAATGACTATATACTTTTGGTAATCTTTGCAACCATTTGGAAAACATGCTTCTTTGATAGCTAATGATCTTTCACTCTGGTCATTTCACTACTTCACTCTAGTCGCCTTGGGTCCCTATTTTACCAAGAAATTACCACGGACCAGGAGGGAAAACAGTAAAATCAGGTTTACATGGAACCAAAGGCGTTACTATGCCCTCTTGGCCTCTTCGATTAATTAAATAGTATACGGATCAATTAGTGTATACATTTAATAATATTTTACAACCTTCCATGCCAAGAAACTACCATGGGTTAGTTGTCTCTAGTTACCTTGGGCCCCTATTTTACGAAGAAACTATCATGGAGACTGGAGCCAGAGAGAAAAGAGAGTAAAATAATAAGGCTTACATGGAAGGTAGTATTATGGCTTGTGGTTTCCTCAAAGAGGAGAGGGCGAGGTAAGAAAAATATGTTGTTTATCATTAAAAAGACAATTTGTTGGATTGTCAAGGAGCTCACATGAAATATGGAGCGGTTACTTGTCCTCTTCTAGTGACATCACTTATGGGATAAAAACATGAATGGAAGTTGAATTATACTTGGTATGTGAGTTCCTATAAGACTAAGGGATTTGTAAGCTCACATAATTCTAGTTGACCGCCCTAAAGTCAAACAGACTATGCTGCTTATTTTTAACCATTTTCTTTTAGATGTCATACCTTGGTTTTTCGATGAACTGGTATTGATTCCATAATTGATATGAATATTAAAAAAATCTGAGAAAAAATCAACAGGTAAAAAGATTACCATAATTGGAAAAGTAAGTAGTCAATAATAATGATTATGATATATACAAGTTTGGCATTTAAAATCAAAAGGAAAACAAGCTTCGGGAATGAGGACCTTTGGCTTTGAAAATGTTAAAGATGTTAGTTGATTTTGTTTGATGTTAGCCAGAAGAAAAACAAATTTAATTATTGACAAAACCCAACATAGTATCTTGTATAAACTTTATTACTATACCATATATGTTTATATGGTATGCATAACTGCAATTAGACACAAATTCAATGTAAATTGGATTTTATGTCATTTCTAACTATTTGAATTGAAGTAATGTGTCAAAAATAGAAGCATGATAAATTTATGTCAATTCCCTCAGGAGGTTCGATAACAAATTGCGGGCAGTGGAACAAATGCAGTCTGAAGCAAAGTAAGTCTTGTGAGGTAATATTTTCCTTCAATAATTTTCTTATTTTCTAATGTCTCTATTTACTAACATGTTGATTATGGTTGGTTCCTTTAAAAATTTTCCTTCTTTGGCGACCACATGCAATATAATACGTATGTAACATTTATTGCTTTTCAAGAGCTCTTGTTCTTTTTTATTAAATGCATCTTTTGTCTCTTTGACCTGCTAACATCTTAACCATGATTTTTTTTCTTAAAATATTCTTTAGTTTCTTTAGTCCCTTTGAAGAATCATATTTATTGAAATTCCATTCACTTATCTAGAAATGAAGCTTAAAAACCATTGTTTTATCTTTCAATTATTTCATTTACTTATTTTATATATTTATATTGTTTTTTCTACTTATTCGTTTCGTAGTAAATGTATGGTCAACCCTTTTGATTTTGTTTGCAATTAATTCTTTTTGGACCTTATGCCGATCACACACAAGCATAATTTCTGTATTGTGAGCATAGTCACTGGAAAGGAAGTGGCCACATATCTCAACCAACCAACATATAAGCATAGGAGTGACCTTGGTTGGGCCTGGATTCTTCTAGCCTTGTCTTGATGCAATGAAATTGTGGTCAAAGCAAATTTGGTTTTTCAGCATGGTTTGCAGGTTTGGGTTATAGCAATCTTTTTCTTGAAGTATATAATATTTGTATATGGCAAATACTCATGCACACTCCTCACGACCTTTGGTGATGTTTGAACCCTTGACCTCCTGGGAGGCTAGGCTCTATTGGGAACCTCTTTATCGCTGGACCAATGACCCTTTTGGGTTATACCAGTCTTGATGCAATATAACTGTGTTTATCCGACATTTGTTTTTAGCTTTTACTTGTCAGTATAACTCTGAAGTCTGAACCATTTCATTTGTTTATGGTTAAAAGAAATTTTGGGACAGGGGTTTGTGTTATCACTTGTGATTTTTACTCTAAAACATGGTGGTTTAAAATTTGTTGGATTTATGGCAGGTTCTGCAAGTGCAACTTTGTTGTTAAGGAATCTTTAAGATCCAAGGCATCTTGTCCGGTTTTTCTGCATCATTACTCTTCCTCTGTCATTTTTTTAGTACTCCTTATGAGATGATTCTACATTATGCTTTCTCATGCTATGACTTCATAAAGTAAAGTTGCTACTCCCTTCATCCGAATATCAAATGCACCAAATATCCAAAATACAACCGTAAGAGCTACAGAAATAGATGAATTTTGTGGACAAATTGAATGCCATCAATATGTTGCAAGGATTCCCTAATGCACAACAATCTAAATATGAATTGAAGCTTTACTGAAAAAGGAAATCTTGCATACTTTTGTGCTATAAGTTAAACACGACTACTTGAACTTTTTGGATAAGCTTAAATTTTTGCTCACGTATGGCTCACATTCATCTTCTTCCAATTCCTTAAAGTTCCTAGGTATGAGCTGTTGACTGACCAGGAAATAAGAATTCTCTTAGGTTCCTTGTAAATGTATGGAATTTGTTAGATTGTTTCACTGAATTTGCTAGATCATTTGGTTAGTTTAGTTAAGACCGGTTAAAAAAATGATCAAGCCTGCAATTACACGAACCAATCCTATTTTAAGTGAATACTAATTTTGAAGTGTTAGTAATTATCAAAAAAAAAAAAAATACAAATAACATGTTTACCCCAAAAAAATAAAATGGGAAAAATGTCACTATAAACATAAGAAATGGAAATGGCGCGCTTGACCAGTTCTGGCTCTCATATGTGAATCCTGGCTACGACTATTATTAACCTAAGGACTGGACTTCCATGCATTTTCAGATATTGTTATAATGCTGTGTTCTTGAGTCTTTTTTATGAAGGAAGGGAAGGGAAGGGAAAGGGAAGGAAAGTAGGAGGGCAAGAAAAAATGTTGTGCTCTTGAGTTTTTTTAAGGAAAGGAAAGGGAGGGAAAGGAAAGAATTTATAACAATTAAAAATATCTATAAAAATTACAAATCTACCAACGAATTATATTCCACTATAAAATAAATAAGGGTATATTTGTAAAGATGACATCTTCCTTTTCTTTTCTCTCCCACTCAAGAACATGAAAATTTATTTTGTTCCTTCCTTTCCTTTCACACTAAAGAACCCAAATAAAAAAATTGTTTCTTTTCTTTTCTTTCCTTCCGAAATTCGAGAACACAACGTAAGAAATGTGGTTTATGTTAAAGCTATCATTCACTTGGAGCAGTTAGTAGTAGTCAATGGTGAACGAATCCAGTAACTTTGTTTAATTCTTATTTTTGTTTTTGGAGGATGAAAAACTTGTTGCTTTTTGCAGACTCGTGAGCTCGAGATTGCAGGTTCTCAAACCATGTTGTCTATTGCATATTATAACCGCTTTTGTAGTTATCAGATTTATCATCTAACTTCCATCTCTAAAGTGTATGCTTGTTTGTATGAAGCATTATAGGATCCTAACTCATTATCAACAGATGGTATGAACTAGCTGTGCACTCTTTTGCACCAGAGGTTCGTTTGCTCGTTACATCATGGTATGCTCAAGAGTCTCGCCCACATATGGTATGATGTAAGTGCTTACATTAGCTGCATTAGTACCTGCATAGATTCGCTCTTACGGATGCGATTGGTATACAGGATAAGTCAGGACAGATAGAACAAAAATTTGTTGTGCGTGCAACAATTAGATTGGGACATGATGACAATACTGAGTGAGACAAAAATGCGTTTTCTTGTCAGGTGGAACAATTTCAAGGTGATTGTTAATATTCGTAAATTATAAAGCTACTTATGTCAAAGTGAAACCTTAAAAAGTTGCAGAATTCTTTTATTAGCCTACCCCACTCTCTTGCGTCCCATCCAGTCTCGTCTGCGTACCAAATGCGCCCTAAGCAAACTGTTTGGACCGAAGGTAAGTTTGCTGTTGGATTTGACTTCATCGGTATCATGGTGTAGGTGTTGTGTAAATCATAGGCTTACACAGGAGTCTTATAGATGTATGCTTTGTTCAACCAAAGTTGTAACTTAGAGGAACTTTTATCAACTTCATGTTGTCAAAAACAAAACAAGTATAGACAGGATATCGTCTATTTAGAACATTTGATTTATACATCTTCTGGAGTGTGGTATGATGTTTGTAGAACTTGACATGGCTAAAAATTTATTGGGTATTAAGTCAATAAATGTAAATACTTTAATGAATATAATTAATATTAAAATTTCCAAAAATTAATAGACGATTTTTAATTTTTTTTTCCAAATATTTTTGTGTATTTTATTTGAATAAATATT